AAACTTAAAATAAAAACAGAAGAATAGAGACAAATCGATTGATCATTAAGGCAGTCTTCGGCAATTGGTTTTGTAAATTCGAACACCCCCACAAATCGATAATTTTTTTAAGTAACGATGAGATTCATATCAGTTGAAGTATATGTCTTAATTCTTCCACCATATAAATTGGTTTATATGGAAGCATTTATCTCTTTTGTATTTAAACTTTGTTTACAGTCATTTGATCCTCGCTATATTCATTCATATCTTAATCATTTCACTAAATTCAGATTTTGTCCTCACAAAATCTATTCTGATATGCTTTTCGTAGCCCTTGAAACCATGCATTGCAAATGTTTCTGTATTTATATGTTTTCTTCATGCCTTTGGAATCATTCGAGCAGCTTTTACAGTCTTGTATTGAGAATATCTCCCTGCTTATTTACTTTATTTCATAGAAAAATATTTTCAATGCAAAATTAAAAAGGCAATTGGATCAATGTAGACATGAACTTGCCCCGATGAAAGCCGATCTCTTTCCCCAAACCCTAGTTTTTTTACTCCCTACCTCATTTTCTTATTTAACTCCCCACACCCCCACCCCAAAACTACCCGTCAAAAATTGAATGGGCCCAATCCTAATGCCTAGGCTCAATGCGGGTACCCTTTTCGGCAGAGCCAGGTACTCGATTTTCATACTTTAAGGACGCAGGTAAGATGCCCAATTCACAGAATTTGCTTGCATTAGGTCTAGGCTCTCGGGCCAAGACTCTTCGAATTTTCACAAAAAATGATGGCTCAATTCCGCCCAAGTTTCCTCTAAATTTTACCTCTACAAGGTATATTCCCAATGTACAACTGATGGTCTGTTTGGTTCATGAAAATAAGGGTATAGAATTAGAATAGAAATAGATTCAACTGTTTGGTTGGATAGAAATTGGAATTTCATTTCCATTTTTGATGRAATAATATTCTCTCATTTAAAGTAATGGTCATTCCTTCCTCTTCTTTGAGAATAAAATCCCATTTCAATTGATTCCAATTCTCATTCTAATTCCCATCTTAACCAAACAAATTATCAGAATAGACCATTTCCAATGCGATTTTAAAGGATTTTAATTTCGACTCCCATTCTGATGGCAATTCTAACTACAAACCACATGAACCCTCAATGTGGTTTGCTTGCAAAAGATCCGGACTCCCAGTTAAAATGTACAGTGTAGCAGGATAAAATTGTTGATGCTACGGTTTTCCCTCGTTAACACGATAAATGTACAAACTGAGACCTTTACAATAGGGGCCACAAACTCTCTCAGCCTTTTAGGGCACTTCAGGAACAGGCCTAAATTTCTTCAAATCAACTTTGTCTGGACCAAATGGATAGAACCGGCCTCAAAGACCTGGCCGCTCAGTCGTCCGTCCAAGGCTCAAATGCAGGATTCGGTTCAGACTCTGGTTATGACAGCCACATAATTTACTAACCAGCTGGTTGGCACATTTCCATGAAGTTCTTTCCTTTGACATGAGTGCAATTTCATCCCAACCGTAGCCTAGTGGCGTTTTGTCAATTGTCAGTTGTCAGCGCATTGATGCCGGTCCAAATCATCTACAGTTTTATTCGTAATATTGGGCCAATGACAAAACACCACGTCATCTCCTTAAACGTGGTCATATATCCCCACGTATTAGCTATTTAGGTCGACATGGCATATCATTATTGGGCGTTGAGGAATATATTCAGACACCACACTATTGGTGGGTCCATCCTAAGGAAAGAGTCGATCAACAAGGAGTGTCAAGGATTCCTTAGCCAGTAACTCCTATGTCCAAAGCAATAACATGACATGATATTATCCTATATTTGGCGTCTTTCTCACAGGCGGTGTTTGGTTGCACAACATCAAAAGAAAGGAAAAAAATGATTCTCAGTGGAATTACAAATTCATTTATGAAAATAACCTATTTTCCGGGTTTCAATCTGAGAAAAAAAAAAAAAAACAACTTGACACAATCTACATATGCAAAGAGATGACCAATCAGGTGGTGTTCATCACAGTTCACCGGATGCAGCTCTTTCGGTACCATGTCTTTCCGATATGATAGATGTTACCTTTGGGGAAATTATTTCTTTCCTTTTATACATTAAAGCATCGTTTGTTTTTTATAAAGTGAGAGCGGGTAAGTTGATAAATCCAGTGGAAAAGAAATAAATTTGTATTCGTATTTCGAGATATTAGTGCATTCAATGAAAAAAAGAAAAATTTCCCAGTGACTCGTTAACTAGGCAAATAATATGCTCGTAAAACTTTGATAATTTATTTACCCATTCGTACCTAAAATTACTAATACATTGAACATTCACTTTTTTTATGACTAAAACAGTCATTATACAATTTTATAAGAAATAAAAGATCGTTAATAAATGAATTTATCCATACAAGTATTTTCCAGCATTTACCTAAGTAAAAATGATTTACTGAAATGCGAATTAAGCCTACATGATCTCATGTGGTATTTGATAGCACAACGGAAAATTAAAAATCTGTTTGGCATCAATGTTATTTAGGAGTGTTCATGGGTCGGGTTGGGTCGGTTTATTGGGGTTTTCCCAACCGACCCGACCTGGTCGGGTTACCTGAGGTGGAAACCGAAGCCGACCCACTGATAGGCCAAACCGACTTAGTCGGTTTGAGTCGGGTTGGGTTGGTTTCGTTTTTGCTCCTATACAAAAAGACACCTAATTGAATTCTAATTGTAATTGCCTAATGAAGTGCCTATTTGGTGTAAAAGACTATAGAAAGTTAGAAACTATGATAGATTGCCTATTCTAATTGTAATTGCCTAATGGGTCTTCTAGTTCTAGTAGAAGACTAGTTATAGTTAAGTAGGAAACTACTCAAACTAGGAACTACCGAACTAGTAGAAGACTAGTTTGGTTCGGGTCGGGTTGGTTTCGGTTTTCACACAAGAAAATCGAAACCGATCCGATATATTGGTTTATATATTTGCCCAACCCGAAACCGATCGGTACTGATGAAAACCCAGGCCAACTCGGGTTGGGTCGGTCCGGGTTGGTCGGTTTGGTCGAGTTGGGCATTCTTATGAACAGCCCTAATGTTATTAAAATGGCACTCCAGGAAACGTCTGTTTGTATGGAACCATTTTTCCATAAAAAAACGATGCTCTAAGCCATACCTTAAAAATCGGGAATGCGTGGGTTAGAGCAACACCGAATTTAACATTTCCTAGAACTGCAGCTCATTGTTGCCAATAGGAACATGAGGTGGCAGTGACATGGCACTAGATTATAGGTACTAGTGCTGAAAAACATTTCCTGGAGCATTGATACCAAACAGACAATGGTGTTGTTACTCCAGGAAACAATACCTGGTAGCAACATTTGCAAACAAAAAAAGACACCATTTTCTTAAAAAACATTACTTCTAACCCACACATCGACAGCACCGTTTTCTCGGAAAAGGGTGATGTATCTGCAGCATCTATGCCAAATATATACTAGAGAGGAAAACAAATATTTTTCTTGAAAAAAAAAATGATATTCAATGGGATTAATACCCAATTTTTGGAAGTATTTATTTTCCAAAATCAGTTTTTTGGGAAATCATTCAATTTCCTTCGTTTTGCGGAAACTTCGGTCAAATGGCCAGATGGCATTGTCTGGATAGTCCAAAAACGGCCATGTGTTTGGTCTTTTTGTGCACACCTAACTCTATGCTTATATTTTCTAATCCAAAAAGGTCCCTAGAAACCGGCTTGCAATGGCTCACATGTTCTTTGTCTGAAGTCTAAACGACTAGTTTGACAAGTCCATGGACCATGGCCCATGATCCCCTTAAACAAATAATTTGCTTTTTCTTTCTACCATTAAACGTACCCATTTCCATTTACCAATCCAATAAACAAGTCATTTGGGCTTCTTCCCCAGTCAACCTACCCAGAAAAAAGATTCTACAAAGCAAGTCAATTGGGCTTCTACAACAGCTATACTAAGAGTTAGCCTAGTCCGTCCGTCCATTAAATAAGTTCACTTCGCTCTTTCCATAGTGTAGACTAGCTCAATATTTTGCTTTCTGTAATTCTGTTGAACTGAAACCTGCCTTATCAACCATGAAGAGAGAAGAAAACGCTTAAGATTCCCTGGGTTTATTGAAACCCTTATCTAAACTACTCATCTCATCTACCGCATAAAAAAACTGGCCCATAATAGATATTTGGCTCATCTAACAACCTGGTCCTTCATTGGATCCTGTTCTCTTCGACGTCATGCATGGAACCGCATCTCCCAATAACCAACCAACCAACCAACCAACCACCCACTAACAACACGAAAATGAAAAAATAAATAGAGAATCAGCTCAACCCAGCACACTATTCTCCAAAGTCCAAACCAAGCGGGCCCCAAACAACTCCAACAAGGGCAAGACCGTTATTAAATGCAAAACCAAGGGTACTATTACATGCGTAAACGCAAATTGGAACGTTTAGATTTTTTTCCCCGAGATTCTGGCATTATTACAAGAGATTTTGTTACCTCTAAAGTCTGTACTGTAAAGACCTTTCTTTCCCCTTTTGACCGTAATTGGGCCTACGGCCCATCCATAGCTTCCTATCAGCCCCGTATTTTGAGTTTCGGGACCCACATATGGATCCCATTTGGAAGATGAGCTGGGCCCCAAACCATCTACGGCTACTAACCTCGTGGTAATTTATGGGGTAGAGATGGACGGCATGAAAATTCGCTTTCCTGTACAAAGTGACGAACTATTCTGATATTCTGTCAGGGTTAGTTTTATAGTAAATGACGAAATAACCCACGGTGAGAGAAACGAACCAGCGGCCCGATAACATGTTCACTGCGCCAAAACCGCCCTCACCCACCACGTCCCACGGCTTTTGGTTTCCTGTTTTGCGAGGCCCACCACCAGCCCAGGGTTAGGGTACTGGGTAGAGTGGAGAAGGATCGAGATAATCACAAATATATTCGTCCTTTTTCACTTTTGTTGTTGCCCCTCCCACACTTACATTACAAACATATAAATTTGTCTCCCCCACCGGTCATCCCTTCCCATAATTTCACATTTGCCCTCTTTGCTGTGTGTCTCTCTCCGTCTGCTGTATGGAAGACGATCATCGCAATTCATCTTCTTCCCTAAAGCACAAGCTCCGGTCATCGCTCTGTCTCTCATGTTGCTTCCCAAGTGGCCGCCGCGAAGCCTTGGAACCGGACGAGAAGCCCAGACTCATCAGAGCCTCCTCGTCCTGGCTGCGATCGAGAACCCAGGAGTTACCCGAAATCAAAGAGAAGTGCCGGAATCTCATCTCTCGTATCGGTAAAGGCCGGAGACACTCGGGGGATTTTAGGTACGACCCGTTAAGCTACTCCCTCAATTTCGATGAGGGAATCGATGACACCCAGGCCGATGATTTTCCCCTAAGGAACTTCTCGGCGAGGTTGCCAGCGTCTCCGCCCATGTCGACCACCAAAACAGTGCTGCCGCCTGTGGTCGTAACGAGTGAAATCACCGCCTGCAGTTAAGTAAAGAAGACGAATGATTTGGGGTTTTCGAGCTCCGACTTCTTTCTTTATTATTTGATTTTTCATGTTTCCTTTGTTGCTCTTCATTGATGTATGATTAATCTTTGCATTGGAAGGATTTTGTCTGTACAGAGTTCCGTTGTAAAACTCTGCTCGCCCTTGTTCTTCTTCATGTGTCTTTATTTTTTACTGCACTTTGTTAATATACGCCTGTAAGGCGCAGAAGCATAGCATGCGCGGTCTGGTATACTGGCAGTCTGGCACCAAACAGTAGCGACTTGTGTGGACTCTGAATCTGAATGTCGTTACTGTGGAGAATCGTTTTGAGGAATATAGTGGCTAAGCATCCATTTCCTCGGGAATCTGAATACCGCGTTTTTTTCTTCTGGGGTTTTAGGTACTATAATACCGGATAGTATTTTTTCAAGCCCTATAATACCGGATGGTTGGTTTGCAGGAAAACTATGGGTGTGAAGCTTAACACTTCATGCTTACTGAAAAAAGAAAAAAAATAAACAGCTTTTTATTTTTGATTTTTTTGGTAGAGTAAATACTGAAAACCCAGCTTAAACTTTTTTTATGGTTTTGGGTTTGCATTTAAAAAAGAAAATTACTTAAATACATCAATATAGTGCATTAGTGCTTCGACAATATATGGATTCGGTGCTTCAATAAAAGAATATGAAAGTTGTTTGGTTACAGATTTTAGCTGGGTTTTCACCTTTCAACCGCATTTTGTGGGTTTTAGAAACTGTTTTTGGTTAATCATTAATGTATTAGAGTAATGTGTGATGAATCATCAATTGTAGAATTAATGAAGCAATTAATCAGAAAACTGCCCCTTAGAGCTAAGATTTCCATGAAAACGATGGATACTATGGATGTAACTTGCGCGGGTTCGTGTTGGGTATTTCCAAAATTTGGACGTCCGAATGCCCGAGTCCGATCATTATAAAATGTTAACTGGGGTTAATTACAGTCGCAATACAGAGAAATCTTACAAAAGGACTTAAACCAGTGTTGGACCAGTGAACCTTCAGGATATTGATCTTTTGTAGTTTTCAGGGGCCAAAAATAGCTGAGCAAAGAAAAGAGAAGTCTGAAAACCATTAAAAAAAAGCATGGGGAAGAAGGTGGAAGAAAATATTAGCTTTTGATATCCTCTCTGTTATTGTTTCCCCCACTGAGTGAGTGAGCTGAAGAGCAAAATATAATAAGCTGGAGATTGCGTTTTGCTTAGTGAACATTAAGCATGAAAATGACATGATGGGTGACGTGTGGAACTAATCAAATCCTTAATTATGCGGCTCTTGTGTGAAAGTTAAACACCACCAAACAATCAAGACTTTTATCCCATGAGATGAGATGAGGACACAAGCACTAGCATATTCCTCTTTTGTGTCAAAATCTCAACTGTATTGTAAACTACGTGTATTTTAATTAATTGTATTATATAATTTTAGTTATTGGTAGTAACTGCTCACTCCACATTCAGTCACTAACCTCGTCAGTGACTTCAATCTGTTTTTATTTTAGCCTTATCCATCCAAGAGAGTGAATCCAAAAGACATGGGCCCCTTGGCTGTTGTCCACTATTTTTCTATGGGGTATAAATGGGCCCCATTTCATAGCTTTTGAGAAAATAGCCAGCTCAGCTCATGGCCATTGTTGAAGAAGTAGGGCCTAAGTAGGTTGTCTCTTGCTTACTATTGAAGGTTATTATTGTCAATTGACATGTATTTACATCCTCTATGGTCGCAGGAATAGCATATGGGCCATAGGCTTTCTTACGGGGAATATTCGACTGGGGAAATTGATTCGTGGAATCCAATTTTTAAATTTGTCACATCAGCTAATTCCACATGATTTTAGAGCAGGGTTAGAACCAAGAATCATGATCTTCCATGTATTGCTAAGACCTCACCATTAGGAGGTGTCAATTGGATCGGATTTAATCCAATCTGAATTCAATATGAGTCATCACAGGTGTACGTGTACCAGGTCCAGTCAAATTCAATAAGTACTTTGGATTATTTTGAATTGGCCCAATTCAATGTCTAAATCATCTAATCTATTCAAATTGGTTTTAATATAGATTGGTTCCAACCCAAACCTACTTCATTGATATCTATATTTATCTTCTATCAATGGACCTGATATTGGTCTAATGCAATCAAATCTAAAATAAATCCATTATGGATGGATTAGGTCCAAACCGATCCAATAAATACTTTGGACCATTAAATTTGGATTGGCCCAATTCAATATGTTTTATCGGTCCATTCACTCTATCCAAATTGATTTTGATTTTGATTTTGATTTTGATTTGGATGGGATCCAACCCAAAACCGGTCCATTGACACTCCTACCCACCACAATGGCGCTTCGTCCGATTCAAAGGTGAGTGAAACAATACATCAAAGGCTTTGATTTTGTGCTATTATGCAGCACTGAAACCACAACGTAGCAAAAGTAGTTGCATGCCCCAAGTCTTTGTGAAATATCTCACATCGTGGACTTTATAAAGGAATTAATTATTCCTGATTTTTATGATTTGGGGTAATTCCTTTTTTTATGCCTAAAGGCAAATCATTCAACTATTCAAATCAGAATAGGAATAACAATGGGGTGGGTTCAGGGCAGGATCAAATTCCTTGTTTCCAATCCTGCTTTTTGAATAAACCCCCATCCCTGACTCTGATCCCCATCTCCAATCCCTGATGGGGGCCAATTTCCTTCCTGTAGGGATCTAAATTCCTGAAACTTTTTAATCAGTAATATTTTTTAATAAAGAAATTTACTTAAATAAATAAAATTTTAAAATATAAATAATATTTTAAGTATATATTGATATATATAAATAATATCATATATAATAATATATTTAATATGAATAATATTTAATCTCTGCCATTACCCCGATCGGGGACCCCTATTAATCTCCACTCCCATTCCCATCCTGCCAAAGCAATCCCCATCCCCGACCCAATGGGACCAGGGAAGTCAGGTATCTGCCGGAGATGGAAAAAGTGCAGCACAAAACCACACATATAACCCCCCCCCCCCACCTCCCTCCTCTCTAATTTGGGGACAGCAAGATTTGAATCCCCGTCTTTATTGAAATGAACCAACTAACATACCAATTGAGCCACCCTTCAATTGCTAAGCACATTGTGTTTTGAAGAAATCAATGATTCCCCAAATCCTTCATAATCACTTAATTCTTGTTGAAATGGTTTTGATGAGTTGATTCCTCCAAGCAAACATATTCATGGGGCCTATTTGGTATGCTATCACGAGACGCAAGATCTATTCCCATTGCTATCGGGGTGGAAAGGGTTTAGGGGATGAGGGGTGGAGCCCCAGGGCTACCCCATTGTGTAGAATGTAGTCCATGAAAATTCAAAAAAAAAAGTAATAATAAAACGAAAAAGACAAAAAAGAAGGACAAAGTTACACATTAATTGAGCCATGCTTACTTGATAAGTAACCTAATAATGACATTTTTAAGATAAATTGATTCTCTTCTAAACACAGTTTTTATGGAAAAATACTTCCAAGCCAAAAACTCCCTTAATCCAAAACAGTAGTATTATCAAGAGGGTTATTGTCAATGTAAATGGTTTTTATTTTTAAAACAATACAAGTATACAACTGACGCTTCAACAAAAATGTATTGTTTTTTATTGGTCATGGCAACTATTTTTGTTTTAGAGAAACAAAACCAATCACTTTAGCAAACACCCCCTAAATGAATGCGATATGTTATACTTAAAAGCTACGATGGTTTAAATGCTTAATTTTGGACTTGAAACAGGGAACTGGAACCGACGGATGGGTGTCTCAGGCAGTACGGTCGCTGGCTCATTCCAGTTTCCTAAATGTTTAAATGTTTATGTCGAATATCCCCTAAATTGATTTTGAAGGCAACCCTTAAAATAGCCCAAGGTTGACCCAAATGAAGCCATAATATAACCCAAATTTAGCTTAAAACAGCCCATAAATAGCCTTGTAACTTATCCCATCAAATAATTCAAACAAAAAAAAAAAACACTGAACTGGACCTAGAGTGGGCCTTACTTAAAAGTATACTCAAAATCAGCCCAAACTCTCAAACTGGCCTGAAGTTGGCCTCAAAACTGGTCCTCAGTTCAGTTTAAGTTTAATCCAAAGGTGGCCTTGTAAGAGTCCACAATCGCTAGCCAAGTTTCAAATGAATCCCATGAATGTGCTTAAACTGAACACACAATTTCTAGGCGTCAGCCTGGGGGGACAGATTTAGGGACGTCCTGTACTGTGGTTGGGAAAAGTGTGGTGTGTTGTGGAACATACCACCCCACCATGGTGTGTTGCAGAACCATGGTCCTAGAAGACACCAGGTGCTCTGTATTGTGGTGTGCTGTGGACCACACCACGAGAGACGTGTTCTATAGTGTGGTGTGTTTTTAAAAGGCAATGATTATGTGTATCACATGTACAAGATAACTTTAAATGTTATATGCTTATTAATGCATTATATCATGTTTATAGGATTTTGACCATTTTCACTATATGAACCTTATTTTAGACAAATTACTACAAATATCAGTCTATACCGTGACTATTAGACTTATTTATGAGTCGCCCGATGGGCCGGCCCATTCTAAGTCGATCTTGGACATTACTTTAGGTTTACTGGCTCGGACTCAGGCCTAAAACATCATGCCTGAACTTTTTTTGAGTCTGACTCAGGCTTTCTTAAAAAAGTCAGGCCCCAGCCAAAGCACAACTTGATAATATATAGATATATATTACATAATAAAAAAACATATTTTTATTTAATAAAAAATATATATACATTCTCTTCTCTTTTTGCAAGTAATAGTGAGACCTTTCATTATTTTTGGGTTTTGAGGGCTTTTAATATAAATAAAATACTTTTTATTGAATAAAAAAGAAAAGAAAAATCTATTTTCAAATTTTTAGCCGGACTTGGGTCGAACCCAGGCTTCAAGCTTTATATGAGGACCGGGCTTGAGCTCAAGACCTTGGCCTGATGGTTGGGCCGAGCTTACATGGGACCCGGTCCTCATATTAATTATATATTATAATATATAAAATATACTTTTATAATTTTAAATTTAATTAGACATAATAAAAATAATATAAGTATAAAGGATAATTTAATAATTAATTAAAATAATAGTCACAAATTTACAAACGAGAGAGAGAATGGTGGCAACGGACCAATGTACCAACTATATGTGT